TATTTATTGTGTGTGTGTGTGGCCAGCTCAGCCCACCAGGGGGCGGGGCTGGCTGGCATGTGGTGCTGGGGGATCGAACCGCGGTCCCTGTGCTTTGACAAGCTTGTTTGAAGTAGGTGCTTTAGACCACTGAGCCATCTCTCCAGCCCCAAAATAAATGTTTTTTAAAAAATAACTCCCTGTATCCTTTCTTACTTTCCCTCTCTAGTGACCAATCTCTGCACTAAGAATGGCTCGGGTTGACCACTGGACAAATTGCCAACAGTCAGAGGTCAAATATACTCCTCCTCCCTAAATACTTCCACATGGCTGTGCCAACCTGCCCTTCTCCAGGTCCGGGACCCAGGGTAGGCAGGAGATTCAGAATATGAGGCACAAGCATGGAAGGTGCCATGTATTATCTCTGATCCAGGAAATGCAGGCGCCATAGCTCAGGGTTAGAGAAATCCCTCTGCCCCCATACCTGAAGTCCAAGGCCCACCCTATCAGAGAGGACTTCCCCGCTCTAGGTTTTTTCAGCCGAGTTTTACAGTTGGGCCAATTTATTGACATTTCCAGCTTTCTTTCCTGGACATAAACCTGTTAGGGAAGTTGCTCACTCCAAGTCAGATCCACTGAGAACTCTATTGCTCTCAGGATCTGTCTCAGTTATTTTTCTCTTGTTGCTGGGACAAAATACCCCACATCCAAAATTAAAGAAGGAAAGGTTTATTTAGCTCACAGCTAGTGGAGGTTTCAGTCCTTACTCAGATGGCTCCAAAACAGAGCAGCACATGGCAGAGGGCAGCTGTTCACTGTGGCAATAAACAGCAAAGAGCCAAGGGAGGGGCAGCAGCTGTAGCAGAGAGCAAACCCCTGTCCCCGCCTTACATTTGCATGCAGATTATCTGCCTCAGGGTGGGTGTAGCACTCACACCCAAATCCCTGCATTGCATCATGAATTAATCACAAATTCTAGAAGCCGCCCCATGACTGCATGAAGCTCTGCGGGGACCACTAGACACAAACCATAACAGCATCTTATTCTCACTGCTCCCCACCTGCCCCTCAGCCCCTTTGCCTCTTTCCACTTTTCCACTCATCCCAGCACCACACATCCTAGCACTTCCCTGTGTGGTCTGTAGACCTGCAGCTTCAGCATCACCACCTAGTGGCTTCCTTGGGTCGAGTTTGAGACGCGCTATGCTGGACACTGGTTCTCAAACTTGTCCACTCATTGGGATCTCTATAGATTCCTGGGACCATCCTGAGAACTTCTAATTTAATGGATCTGGGATGTGTGTTAGACATCAGATTTTTCAAGTTTTCCTGGTGATTCTAATGTCCAGTGGGAGATAGGATTCCCCCCCCCCCACCTCTTTTTTTTGGCAGAACCAGGGATTGAACTCAGGCCCTTGATCTTGCCAGGCAAGCACTTATTCTACTGAGCCATTTCCCCGGCTCCAAGATAGGATTCTTGATGTAGAGAGAAGTTAGTATCAAATATCTTTTAAAACTAAAAAACCACAAGACCAGCCCTCTCTGTAATCCCAGCTACTCAAGAGACCGAGACAGGAAGATCACCGGAGTTTTCGAGTTTGAGACCAGCCTGGGCAACAAAGTAAGACTTCATCTCAAAATAAATATATACATAAAAATAAATAAATTTTAAGAACCTCCAAACCACAACCAAAACCATAAGCTCAAGGAGGCAGAAATCTAATGAAAAATTTTTTTTCAACTTTTTTTTTTTTTCTTTTGTGGTATTGGGGATCAAACTTGGGACTCTGGGCTTGCCAGGCAAGTGCTTGTTCCACCGAGCTATATTCCCAGCCCAACGAGGCAGAAATCTATTAAGCCAAGATTACCAAGCACCTATTCTGTGCGAGGCTTTCTACTAGCAGCTCCACGCTATGACAGGTCACCTTGGGTGGGCAGGAAGTTACCTTAATCCCTGCACTCCGACACTTGCTCACAGCGGAAGGCACAGCAGCACGGGGAGGGTCAATCATGGATATGAGGCCCACAAAACACAGGTTGCTCATGGGAAAATTTATTTCATCTGTGTTAAAGGGGAAGCCTGCTGCGAAGCTGCTTGGAAGATTCAAGAAGCAGAACCCTGGAGAAAGAAAGAAGGGGCCAGCAGTCATTTATCTTTCTGTGTTCCTGTCCCACTTCCCCCATATCCTTAACTGTGCACTCCACAGCCAGCCAGCTTCATGCCCTGCTTCCGGGGTGCCTCACCGAGCACACGCTCCCCTAGGCCTCCCAGCTCTGCGTAGACGTCCTGGAAGGTGTTCTTCAAGTCATCGTCCATTGGGAACTCCTGCCCGTGCAGGAGGAAGGTGGAGCAGAACTCCAAGATCCTCTCCGGAGCGCCCTTCATCATCAGCACGTGGTCCTGGGAGCTGTCCTCCAGACACTGGTGGATGGACAGCTGCGGGGAAGCAGTGGTGGGACTGAAGGACAGGGCCAGGAGCAGCCGCAAAAGCCAAGGGTAAGGCCTTTTGTGCTGTGTTTCCAGACGCGGTATCATTATATGGTTCTGATTGGCCTTGAGTGTCTATGTAACCCAACCTGGGTACACAACTGTGATTCTCCTACTTCAGCTTTTTAAAAGGTTTTGAAGGTAAAAAATACAACAAGCAAACTGTTTCATGTTCTTCCTCACTGTTTCCTTTGTACCACTTGCCCCCAAATAGAGTCAAGGTTGAACCCATCTCCTCTGTTACAGGAGTCTCAGAGTTCTCAAGGTAAGACAAACACTCTCACTGCTGACAGAGAGCACAACCAAGCATGGGAGACACAACACACAAGAGCCCAAGACCAGTGTTTGCCAAGTGCAACGGCTCATGCCTGTAACCCTTAAACTCAGGAGACTGAGGCTGGAGGTGTTGAGTCGTAGGCTAGCCTGTGTTACATAGTGAGTTGAAGGCCAGCCCAAAGCATGGTGAGAACTTGTCTCAAAACCAAACCAAGGCTGGGGAGATGGCTCAGTGGAATAAGCGCTTCCCTGGCAAGCGCAAGGGCCTGAGTTCAATCCCCGGTTCTGAAAAAAAAAAAAAAAAAAAAAAAAAGCAGAAAAAGAAAAACAAAAATTCAACCTGCATGAGTGTCTTATTAGTGTTACAGCCTCAGGTCAGGCCACTTAACTCTGCAAAATCTAGTTCCTTCCATAAACACGTGAAAAGTTCTGCCTTGACTACCTTACTGGGTTTTAGGTGAGAGAGTTGTGAAAAAACAAATACTTGGAAAATTGTGAAGCCTGATAGATCAGGCATCCTGGTGCCATCTGAGATCACTAGCTAGTATTTGGGGGCAGTGGACAGGAAGGGGACATATTCATGAGGTGGCAACCACAGCAACCAGGAGGGAGATATAAGATCAGCTGAGCTTTTGCATTTTCTCCTGCTCCCTGATCCATGAAAACAAATTCTCCATGAGTACCTCAATTTTTTTTTTAATTAAAAAACATCCTTTTTATGGTACTGAGGATTGGACCCTGGTGCATGCTAGGCAAGCAGTTTACCACTGAGCTACACCCTCAGCCCTGTCTCTTTAATTTTACTTTGAGACAGGGTCTCTCTGTATTGCCTAGGCTAGTTTCCACTTATGCTCCTCCTAGCCCCTGGCCTCAGCCTCCTGAGTAGCTAGGATTACAGGTGTGGGTCACAGTCCCAGCAGCTTCCTCTGAGGGACAGGAAACGCCTGCTGTGTTGCCTGTAGGGAACAAAATCCGTGTTTTGAAAGGAAGTGTGGGAGCCCAGGGGAGAACAGACAGTTTGCCCTGAAGGCAGCTGGGAATAAAACCAGCTTGTGGTTACAGCCATTGCAATTAGAGACTATTCAATGAAGTTGAAAAAATATGCTTAAACATTTCACAGGAAAAACCCTTGACTCCTTAGGCAGAAAGCTACAAAATGTTAAGAAAAGTCAAGTGTGGTGATGCATACCCATAATCCCAGTACTCAGGAGGCTGAGGCAGGAAGATTGCTGTGAGTTGGAGGTCAGACTGGGCTACAAAGTGGGTTCAAGGCCAGCCTGAACCATATAGTGAAACCCTGTCTCAAAAAGACCCCCCACCAAAAAAAAGTTAAGAAAACTCAACTTTCTGAATACTCAAGAAATCTTTGCTCAGTGAATAAAAGACCCAGAAATGAGTGTGAGACCAAGTTAAGCACAGACAAATCACATCCTGATAGAAGACTACAGATAGAGAGGGTGGAGGGAGGAACCGGAAATGCCAGAACAGAGAATTTACCTTTCACTTCCATTGTAGAGAAGGAAAGATAGTGAGCTGTGGGAATGGCTAGTACGCTCAGGTGTCCCTTGCAGAGAGTGGCCAGTCTTTACAGCAAGCTGGTAAAGGCAGCTAATTCAGTCCCCCAGGGCAGGTGCCTGCTGAGCTGGCCTGGTGCACATGGTGCCCATCGAAAGACAGTCCTGTCCTTTGAGCTGAATAGTCAGCAGTTCAGAAGAGTCTTTAACATGGTCAGTTTAGGGCCTGTTGCTATTTGTTGGCTATCCTATCAATGTTATGAACATATTTTGCTTTTATTTTAAATCACACCATGGGAGAGGTGCCTAATTCTTTCTGAAGGCTTTACTTAGGCATTGCCAAGCCACAAAATTCCTGTCTGGTTACTGAGGCCACCAAATGTCAAAAACATGGAAATCAAATTTGCAACCTCAGCCTAGGAGACCTATTTTATTACACTGACTAAAAACTAGTGTAATAGGCAAGACAGGAAGGCATGGATCTATTTAGCTCTTACTTGCTCTGCATTTAATATGAATATATACTGATAGGTTTTTTTTCAGGCAACTATACAGCAGAAAAACAGAAGCAGGAGAAAGAGAAGGAGAAAGGGGCTTTATTATCTTTGAGGACACAGAGAGAATTCCGGGAAGATAAAGGATTCTTTGAACTGGAACAAAGGGAGGCTGAGGCTTTCATGGCTTTTTGTCAGGGGTGGGGTTTGAGTGGAATGTTTAGATATACCTGAGGAGCTGATTGGGGCCTTCCCTGAGGTGGCGGGAAAGGTGAAAGGAAATTGCTCCCTGGGCTGGGTTGGAGAAGAAGGGGAGAGGTGGTCCCTTGGATATAAGCTTTTGTTTTAAGGTCTTCAGCCATGTTAGATGACAACCATAATAATTCAGCAATTCCTACTAGGGCCAGAACCTATCATATAGTATAGGTAACTGGGTTTTTAAAAATCTACACAGATTGTGTTATTCTATCATGTGTTTTTTTAAGACAGAAAGGCAAAACTGACATGGGGGCTTTGTGCTACACACAGCTGAAAGCTCAGCCTTTACAGCAGTGGGGGGAATTGGGGACCCCACTCTCCCAAGCAACTCCTACCGCACCTATAGAACTCAGATGACCTGGAGAGTACTAGGCATGGTAAATCCAGTGTCCCCTACTTTCTACTGGAACCTTCTCTTCGAGTCTACCAAGACTGTCACTTGACAAAGAAGTACTGTGAGTTTTATGGCTTGCATACTGCTACCGTCACCCAGGGTTTCCTTTCCTCTTGTCTGCTCCTCCCTAGATCACAGATCAATAAATCACTGGGAAATAAAAACTTCACGGCCACTCTGGAGACTCAGTCACCAGCACACCTGATAGCAGCTACTGGAAATGCAGGCGTGGAGCAAAAGGAATCACTTGAAGGCGATGAAACAGAATGCCCTGCCAAGGGGACTTTGCTCTGCAGTGGCAAATCTCATAGTGGACACAGGCGCCTCAAGCGGCTGTTTGTGACCTCAACATAACATCCCTGATGAGCCTGTGTCCCCTTCCAACCTTTCAGAGAGAGGTTTTTGGGTTTGCTTTCTGTCCAAGTGGCGCAGGTCAGAGGTTGGCTTAGAATGCACGGCCTCGTCTCTTGTCACTTGGCCCACCTCTCTTGGCCTGGTTGTCACCTCTTCTGGAGTTAAGGCTTCCTCTTAATTGGGATTCTTCTCTCCTGAGCTATCCCACTGCTGGAGGCGAGGTTGAAGACAGAGGCAAAACTCCCTTCCTCCAGTGATGAGTCTCCCCCTCCCCCACACCTTTGTTGGTTCTGTACCTGGTACTTGTTGGTAGAATTAAAGGGAATCTCTGCCACTTTGGGGTTTTTCTCTCTCATCTCCTTCACAGAGCTGAAACTCTGCTCGACAAACTTGAGGAGGGCTGACTCTGACGCATCCCCTGTTGTTTCCCGCTGCCAGGATGAGTTTGTACAATAAGCCCCAGTGCGTGTCAGCAGCAGGCAGGGCTTATCCGTGGCCAGGGAGAAGGGCTATGTGGGAGAAACTACCGCAACCTCAGGGGAGGAAAGTCTGAGGCTAGGGACACCAAGGCACCCTCTTCACCCATGGGCCTGACACCTTAGCTATGGGCAGCATCTCCTGTTCAGCTTTGAAGTCAGCTCGGTTGCAGAGACCAGCAATGTGGGCCAGGATGAACCAGGTATCAGAGCTCTTGGAGAACTTCGCTAGGGAGGAAGAAGGAAAGGACTATAAGGTATGGGAAGGTTTTGAAATCAGGGTGTTGTTTATATTCTGTTTCTTACCCTGGCCTTCTCTCCAGTCATCTCTGTGACTGGATTCTCTTGACTCATCCATCATAGCACCCCAAATCCCACCACTCTGGATCCACCCACACCACTAGTCACCAGTCTGTTCCTCGCTGGTGTCAGCATTGTGCACAGTCCCATCGAACCACAAATGGGCAACAGTCATGCGGTTCTGGGTGAGGGTGCCCGTCTTGTCCGAGCAGATGGTGGATGTGGATCCCAGCGTCTCAACAGCCTCCAAGTTCTTCACCAGGCAGTTCTTCCGTGCCATGCGCTTGGCTGTCAGCGTCAGGCACACCTGAGGCCAGAAGGCAGGGAGAGAAGGGACAGAGAACGTGGACTGCTCACGCTATTTTGTTTTGGAAATGTGTTCTTTTCTATTTCCCCTGTGCTCCTTCACGCTCCTTAGCAATTCCATCTGTGCCCATGGTAGAGGAAGCTAAGGAAGTGATTGTGTTTGTGGTTTCCGGCAAGAGATTCCATGTATTCCTTTGCCTGACTATCACACAGCTGACCCTCTCCCCTAAGGTCTTCCAGCTGTTCTGCCCAGAGGCCTCTCTCCTATCCAAATCCAGGTCATTCCTTTCTCTTCCGTCTAATTTTTCCAGAGAGGATGATGATATTGAGGAGGAACATCGTAGCGTAGAAAGGGACATGTGAAATCATTTAAACCAGAAGAGTTTTGTTGATTACAAATTCAGCAGAAATCAGGTGCGTGGCTCTGCCCCCAGTTTTGACTTGGTAGGCCACCTAAAACCCAAGATAGAGTTGCTAGGAAAATCTGTCTTAAAAGCTCATGGAAGGGCTGGACAAATAGCTCAGCAGAGTAAAGTGCCTCCAAGTAGGTGCAGGGGTCATGCTGAGATGGAGATTGAGACTGGGCGTGGTGGTGCAGGCCTATAATCCCAGCTCTTGGGGGGGCTGTAAACAGGCGGATCATTATGAGTCTGATCTAGTAATGAGACCCTGAACACCCTGTAGACCCTTCCTTAAAATACAAATAAGTAAATAAATAAAAGCTAATGGAGCTTTAGGGGCTGGAGAGATGGCTCAGTGGTCTAAAGCACCTACTTGGAACAAGCTGGGCAATGCACAGGGACCGCAGTTCGATCCCCCAGCACCACATGCCAGCCAGCCCCGCCCCCTGGTGGGCTGAGCTGGCCACACACACACACACACACACACACGTGCGCGCGCGCACACACACACACACACACACAAATAAATAAATGTTAAAAAATGGTTTAAAAAAAAAAGCTAATGGAGATTTAGTGTGTGCTTAACATAAGTACAGGATTCTAATCATGAGGTTTAGTATATACACATAATATCCCCAGTCCAAATGCTTTCATATTAGTTTAAATATTACCCGAGCATTAGTCTCATTTCTACTTTAGGAACAATAATGACAAACTAGAGCACATCCCAAACATGTCATCAGCAAGACAAGGAGTCTAAAAACCTTGTCATAGCAAGAACTGAAGGACACAGGATCACCTTTCCCCCCCATTGGAGACTTGGAAGGGACACAATGGCTACCACCAAAAAGCTAAAGGTCCAGGGATGCTGCCTAATTGTAGTCCACTTGTGTGGCATCCCCAAGACCTTGGGTTTGACACACACACACACACACACACACACACACACACACACACCCCTGAAGGGCTAGATTGTAAAAGAGAACCAACTTATTGTATGTTTTTTTTCAGCTGGCAAAATGAGGATGCAGGGGCTGGTGAGATGGCTCAGTGGTCTAAAGCACCTACTTAGAATAAGCTTAGCAAAGCGCAGGGACCGCGGTTCAATCCCCCAGCACTACATGCCAGGCAGCCCTGCCCCCTGGTGGGCTGAGCTGGCCACACATACACACACATAAATAAATAAAATTTTTTAGAAAAAAGAAAAAAAAATGAGGATGCAACAATCATATTTCTGCTCAACGTAATGGAATTTAACTATAGCAATCCAATAATGCAATGGGCAGAGACAAAAAAAGGTACCTCCCATTCTTAAAAAAAGATGTAATGCTCTCTTCTGGAACTCACAATGTCCAGCATCAGCTCAAAGACTGAATTTACAGGGCCCTTGCTCCTAGCAGGATTGCATAATCATAAATGAACCTTTCTCTATACACTGATGAATAAACTGAGGCCTGGAGATATCAAGTGGTTTGGCCAACGTCACCTGCTAGTACATCCAGGGCTAGAACTTACTCGTAGGGGAGGCTTATTTTTTGGTTTTGGTGCTGAGGACCAAACCCAGGGCTTCCAGCTTGCTAGGCAAGCATTCTACCACTGAGCCAAATCTCCAGCCTCTGGAACTCACTCTTGAGTACCTATGCCCAGTGCTTTCTTCTTTGAAACTCACTTTCTCACTGAAGAGAAAGAGGCCAGAAAATATGGCAGAAAAAGCCCACGTGATATTGGCAGTTAGTAATTTCTGATCTATACACTTTTGGAAATGCTCTGTACTTGAGAGATTCAACAACAAAAAAATGCATGAACGATTTCATTTTCCTTGGGTGTTCACTGGCCCATATGCCACCATCCACCCTCGATACTCACAGTGACAGTAGCCAGCAGCCCCTCAGGTACATTGGCCACAATAATCCCAATGAGAAAAATTACGGCCTCTAGCCAGCCATAGCCCAATGCAAGAGAGAGCCCAAAAAAAGTGACGCCAAGGAATATGGCCACCCCAGTTATGAGGTGGATGAAGTGCTCAATCTCAGCACCAATGGGGGTTTGGCCGGTTTTCAGGCCTGATGCCAGTGAGGCAATTCGGCCCATCACAGTGGAGTCTCCTGTTGCAATCACAACACCCCGGGCTGTTCCTGTGGACCAAAGGAAGAGAGTGTGATATTGCATATGATAAGCACCTAAAAACCCAAGACAGAGTTGCTAGGAGAATCTTTTGTTTTCATACATAGTCTTTGATCCTAGTTCCTAAGACCTTTGTAGTTGAGTGATAGGAGTCTCTGACACATAGCTCCTAAATCCCCTGGAATTTCCTGGGAGATAAGAAAATCTTTTGATTTGATGTAGTCACTCTTGGTGGGGTCCTGGAGAGCACTACAGGATGGAACTAAGGACAGGAGAACCAGCTTCGGGGTTTAACCCCACTGCTCTACCTTTGAGGAGGAGGGATGGATTGCTTACTAATGGCCAGTGATGTAATTAGTCATGCCCATGTAATGAAACTTCCCTAAAAAAAAAAAAAAAAAAAAACAACAAAACCTCCAAGAAGACTGGGTTTCGAGAAGATCCAGGTTGGTGGACATGTGGAGGAACCTGGGAGATGGAGTACCCAGAGAGGGGCCAGAAGTCCCTGTCCTCTGCCACCCCATGCCCTCAGCATCTCTTCCACCTTGGTGGTCCTCTTTTTAATGTCCTCCATGATAAATGGGAAAATATAAGCCAGGCACTTTCCTGAGATCAGTGAGTCATCATTCTAGCCCCTTAGCTGAACCCAAGGAAGGGGTCACAGGAGCCCTGATTTTTAGCAGCCTCTCTGAGATACAGATGAACAACCTCAGTCTCGTGAGACTCAGTCCTCACTCAGTGTAAGTTCCAGCAAGACAGAGTCAGTATTCAGTTGAATTCTGGGACCCCTAGTTGGTATCTGCTGGAAAAATGGATGGTTGATATGAAAATCTTTGCCCAATTCAGACATAGAAAGGTTCTGTGCTCAATGTGAGAGTCAAAAGGAAAAACACAAATCCTTTTTCTAGGGGCCAGGGAGATGGCTCAGTAGAATAAGCGCTTCCCTGGCAAGTGCAAGGGCCTGAGTTCAATCCCTGGTTACACACACACACACACACACACACACACACACACACACAAATCCTGTTTCTTTTTTGTCTGTGGCAAGCAACCAAGATATGCCCAGTCTGAAATGGGAAGGCTGTTGGGCTTGGTTCCTAAGAAAAGAAAGCTGTGATCAAAAATAAGGTGGGCGTAGCAGGCCCTCTGGGAAGACACTACGTTCTGTCTGCCTCGTGTGTAGTGCATACAAGTAAGGGTTTCCAAGTTAGAACAATCTCCAAAGGCAATTTCACGGCCCTCTAGACATACCCAATCCTATTGCTTAATTGCCTTCACTGTCAAGAATGCCTTCATTACACTTAGCTGGAACATCTCCCATTGCCTGTACATTTCTTGTTTTGTCCTCAGCGGCTGAATAGTTTCTACAGCCCCAGAGACAGCAATCACCCCTCTAGCAGCATCCTGTGTCCCAGCAGCCCTCTATCTCCTAATCTGGTGGTTGTCATCTGGGAGCAATTGCCCGCTCCTCCTCTTCTCAGGGACATGTAATATCAGGGGCCATTTTGGGTGCCCCCAATTAGCTACTGACGACCTAGTGGAGACAAGCGAGGGATGCTGCTGATGTCTTGCAGTGGCCAAGACAGCCCTCCTCTTCCCCTACAGCGGGGGTTCTCTGGCCCCACACGTCAGCAGCTGAGCAGCCCTGCCTGACCCAAGCCCCCTTCCCAACTTGCTAGCTGGAGCCAGCCTGACCTCTGCCGGGTAGCGCAGGTCATGACAGCTGGGTTCTGTGCTTGTCTGACCTCTTCCCTGCGCCTATCCACTCCCCTGCAATGGGCACCTGGTCATCATGTTTGGCTTTAACGTGCATAATGCAGGCCACCCTTAAGTGGCTTGACATGCTGGGTGTGACAAGATTCTCTGCCTAAATTAACTCCTCTTGCTTTGCCTTAATGATTGAAATTCCTAAAATCAGAGTTACTCAGGAAAGGAACACATTATAGAAATAGCACTTAAGTTAGGAGATTCAGGGCTGGAAGTTCAACTTTCCAAACAGCTAACTCTGTTCCCTGGGGCAAGTTACTTTTGTGATGTGAGACTCATTTTAAAATGGGATTAAAACATCTACAAAGCTGGGAATTTGAATGTTTTAAAAACCCTGATGATCAGGGTTTGGCACACAGTAAGCACTCAATGAATGATTTATCCTCTTCTCTTAGATGAATTTGGCTAGAGTCTCCATAAGGTTCATAATAAAATTGCATGAGGGATCTAGAAGAGCAACTCATTACCAGCTCCCACAAACATCAGCCTCGCGCAGCTGATGGCCTCCATTTCTAAGATCACCTTTATCTATACGAGTCTGAAGGTGGGGTCCTCGAATTGCAGACAGGTCAGTGGTTTTTTTGTTTTGTTTTGTTTTTGTTTTTTAGAGGGAGATTTCTGGAAATTTCACAAGATGAAACTTTCCACATTTAACCTTTGAACTTACTGTCAGAGGCATTATTTTTTTTATGTTTTTTAAAATTTTCTTTTGTTTCATTTTGTTTTTTGTGGTATCAGGGATCGAACTCAGGCTCCAATCTAAGAGGCTTTTTTTTTTTTTTTTTTTTTGCAGAACTGGGGCTTGAACTCAGGCCTTTGCGCTTGCCAGGAAAGTGCTTATTCCACTGAGCCATCTTCCCAGCCCCTAAGAGGCATTCTTGAGTCTTATAAAGACACTAAAATGAGTGAGAATAGGATGAACTGTAAAAGGCTCAAGTCAATAACTTCTGAGGATAACCTACTAATATTATAGACTGCTAGACAGTGTTGGATTGTTTTGCTGAATTCAAACACCTATAGTATTTAGATGCCAATAGAATATCCACCTCTGACAGGACTAAACAAAAAAAGGGGATACAAAAAAAAGATCATTTTGTATTTATATATGCAAAATAGTTAGGATAGATATACAGCTACTTTCACTTAATTCAATGAGAAGAAAGAGGTGTACTAATAGTGCTTGGACAGGATATCATGTCTGCTTCTTGTACTATGGATAACCACTAAGAAGATAACAATGTACAATGTATTGATTATCAAAACTGTTATAAATTGATTATTAATCAGCTTTGAAACTGTCTCATTCATATTTGTTTCTCAATAAAATTAAAATAAAAAAATAAAGTGAGTGAGAGGTGCTGAGAGGGTTTTATGGTCTTGTTGGGATGGGGGTGGGTGGGTAGAGTTGGTTTCATCTATCTATCTATCTATCTATCTATCTATCTATCTATCTGTCTATCTACCTACCTATCATCTATCTATCTATCTATCTAGTCTAGTTCTTCATTTTTATTCCTTCCACAATGGTTTCCCTGTGCTGCGGAGATAAAGTTTAATAACAAATCCCAACACGTCTAGAGGCAGGATGGGTTGGTGTCAGTCTAGGGGAATACTAAAGCCCATGCATCTTATATTACAGGGCAGACCAGTTCTTTTAAATACCATCCATATAAGCAGAGAAATAGCTCAGGCTCTCTGGAAAATCTGTGAGTGCCCAAAGAAAGACATTGTACTGTAGCCCCATTAAAGCCCATAGTTATGACAATTAAGAGGCAAGGGTGCAAGTTAAAGTTATGCTTTTCTTTCTATGGAAAGTTTAAAGGACAAATTGGCCTTGGGTAAATGCTACTATCTTGTAAACCACACCAAAATTCCTCAGTTTAACACTCAAGAGCCCCTTCAACCTAGCTCCACCCTCTTGGTCTCATCTTGGGTTCTGCTCCTCTCCCAGCATGCCCTTCTTCACCTACCTAGGTGCTTACTGCCCAAAGCAACGCTGCTACACACCTCTCTCCAGCTCTCCTACTGGAGTACATACATAGCTGGTGGAAAACCTACCTGGGAAGAACAAATCTGAGCAAATTTGTTCCTGAAACATAATAGCAGAAGTCCAGTAATTTTGGGGACAGTTTGGCCTCCTGTACCTTGCTGTCCAATTTTTAAATTTTAGAGAATAACATTTTCTGGCTTGATGTTTCCTGAGTGTCTATTCAGTCATAATGTTAACCTTTAATGAATTTTTAATTTAAATGATTTGATCACAAGGGAAGACATTAGTCATCTTTTAGGGCCGAGGAGGGTCTGGGAAGGGCATGCGTTTTGGAGACAGATTAGAAGTCCTAATCATCCCTTTTGTTGACTTGTACTCTTTGATATGATGCTTAATTTTGTTGAGTCTTAGCCCTTCGTGTGTAAAATAGGGATCATACCTACTATATCACATTGTGAGAAACAGAGAGAAAATCTATAGCACTTGACATAGTGCATCCAATAAAATGCATTTATGCGTTCAGTAAAGAGCAGCTATTTCTAGATACCCCAAATTTACTCTTAAGCATTAATCACGGTTTTCAAGTGTGTTCCAGGGAGTCTTCAGGAGGCTTTAAAGGAAAAGGGCAAAGAGGAGACTGACATAATGATGTTGAGTCCTGTGTCATCACTTTGGCCAGAGCGCCCGTTTAGCTCAAGGGTGCCCTTGATTCTAGGAGCAAAGCCAAAGTCTGAAATTTCCAAAGCAGGATCCTCTCTTGGAGTCTCGTAGCAGGGAAAGAGCCACCCAGGGTGGATTATTCACCAGGATGAATAATCCTCCCCTCTGTGCCCATGTCAGCACATGCAACATAGTCCTTTCACTTGCTGGAATAATAGTTGATAATTATGGGACACTTCTCATGACTTGGGACTTGAGTTAAGCACTTTATAATTCTTATTTTATTTAAAATAAAAACCATGGGCAATGACTTTTAGTATCCTCAGTGCACAAAGGTAAAAATAGTAACTTTAACCTTTCTCTGAAGGCCAACTGCCCACCAGTTCTTACCCCAATACCTTTAGAAGATCTTCCCGAAATCTGCCTGTTTCAGTCTATGCTTTTGCATCTATGCTGCTTAGGATTCAATATTCACCTTCCACACAGTTGGTAGAGAAGAAGCAGATATTTCTGGTCTCCAGAGGGTTCTCATGGGTGAAGTTGGGGGACCGGGATTGGGGCTCTGATTCCCCAGTCAAGGATGAGTTGTCCACCTGGGATGGGAAGGAGGAAGGGTTGTCAGGTGAGTACAGAGAGAAAGGCAGCCTGAGTTACAGTAAAACAGTGTGTCTCTATCACCAATGTCGTCACTGATCTATACAGAGAAACAAATGTCCAGGCCAGTACCTCGTCATCTGTCGCCACAACCTCACTCATAACTTCTTAAGGCTTATAATGCTAAGATCATACTTTAACTGAGCCCAAGTCCCTACTGTCACCTAAGCCCACACTAGCTCAGTCCTCAGCTTTCCACCACTCCTCACCTTACACCCTTGTGCAGAGATAAGCCGAATGTCAGCAGGGATTCGGTCTCCGGCCTTCACCTCTACCAGGTCTCCCACCACTACTTCTTGTACATCAATTTGCATCCTCTTTCCTCCTCGAATTACCTGGGCTTTCTATGGGAAGAGAGAGCAGGGCTGTTTCTAAAGCTTTCTGCTCCCCCCGTGCTGTTCCTCACCTACAACTTTTCTATTCTAGACTCCCCCCTCTTGACTCCCCATTTTTGCCACGTCACCCACCACAGTATTCTTGAAGGTGTCTTGGAAGGAGCGCATTCCTACAGCACTGCTTCAGGGCCCTGTGCAAGGGCGGTCTTCCCATCATGAGGCAGGATCTCTCTCCTTACTCCTAGGCCTAGGACTTGCTTTGGTCCATAAGACATTAGCAAAAGCGATGCAGGCAGAGGCTTAAAAAGTGCTTTCAGGTTGGGGCTTGCCCTGTTGTTGCTGGGAGCCCTCTGCCCCATATGACAAACCCAAGCTATCCTCCTGGAAGAACTGAGAGCAGGAGGACAGAGGCCCCCACTGTCCCAGTGGTCTCAGCCTAGGCCTCAGACAAATGGGTGAGGTCATCTGAGATCATCTAGCACCAGCTGAGGCCAGCCCAGGCCAGAACAACCTGGCCACAGGATGGGAAGAAAGAATACATTATTTTAATTTAACCAAATTTGGGGGTTGGTTTATTCTTCAAACTTCTACTTCAAAACTACCAAAATATTTTCTCTCAAAACTTCTTATCCAAGGCAAAAATTAAATTATATTGATACCAAAGCTAGCAAGGCTATCATTGTTAGGAAATTTTAGAACCTATTCCTTTAAAGCTTCCAGGCCTACACCTAGGAACTCCTGTCTATTATTATATTATTTCTTCATACCTTTTAGAACTTTTCATTAAAAAAAAAAAATTAACCTTAAGAAAAGTTGCAAGAGGCTGGGTATGGTGGTGCATGTCTGTAATCCCAGGAAACGGAGGCAGGAGGATCACTGCCAGCTTGGGCTGACTAGTGAGTTTAAGGCCACTTTAAACCACACAGTGAGATCCTGTCTCAAAAAAAAGTTGCAAGAATAAAAATAAGACTACAAATACCTAAATAAGCTCTACCTTTCTTCACCTATTAGCATTTAATCTCATCTGCTTTGTCATTTTTTTTTTTTCCCTTCTGTATTTAGTACAGGGTCTACAGGGTCTTACTACATAGGTCGGACTTGTAATGATCCTCTTGTTTTCAGCCTCCCAAGTGCTAGGATTACAGGCGCGGGCCACCATGCCCAGCCTCAAGTGCCATCTTGGCATGCTCCGGGGACGGGGCTGGCACAGCACGCCCGGCCATTGTGCTCTGCCTAAGTAGGCGCTTTAGTCTGCTAAGCTATCAGGCCAGCCCTTGTCATTGTTTTTTATGTATCTACATTCATGATGTGTGTATACTTTTATTCCCCCCTGAACTATCTAAGGTAAGTTATATCCAGCATGATTTTTCTATCCTAAGTATTTCGGAATACTCCTGAGAATTTTCCTAATTCTTATTAGGTTATTCTCTTATATAACCACAACATATTTTTTGGTTTTAGTGAGTTTCACGATTATACAATTCTTTAATCTCCCAACCGGATTCTAGTTTTGTTATTTGACCCCAAATATCTTTGTTTGGGGGCAGCGATGTAGTTCAGTGGTAGAGCAATTGCCTAGCATGTTAGGACTCTTGGTTCAATTCCCAGCACTGAAGGAAAATAAAGTATTATTTTCTCTTGCAGAATAGCATCAGGGGGCTGGAGAGATGGCTCAGTGGTCTAAAGCACCTACTTGAAACAAGCTTGGCAAAGCACAGGGACAGCGGTTCAATCCCCCAGCACCACATGCCAGCCAGCCCCGCCCCCTGGTGGGCTGAGCTGGCCACACACACACACAATAAATAAATGTAATAAATAAAAATAAATAAATAATTTAGAATAGCATCAGGTCCAGGACTAAATATTGAATTCAGCTGTCATGTCTCTTGGAACACCTTTAATTTGCAGCATTTCCAGAGCTCTTTGTTGTCATCAAAGTCACTGACATTGGAAGAATGCAGCCTCCCCACCAACCTTGCCTTTTATTTATTTATTTATTTTTTTAATTTATTTATTCATTTAGTGTGTGTGTGTGTGTGTGTGTGTGTGTGTGTGTGTGACCAGCTCAGCCCACCAGGGGGCGGGGCTGGCTGGCATGTGGTGCTGGGGGATTGAACCGCGGTTCCTGTGCTTTGCCAAGCTTGTTCCAAGTAGGTGCTTTAGACCACTGAGCCATCTCTCCAGCCCCATATTTATTTATTTTTTTAACAAAAGATTCTCATCTGGGCTGATACAGTATTTCCTCATGGGATCCAAATGTGCCTTCCAGACTAGACTACTTCTGGGTGATGTTGTGTCTCTCCCAGGGCTTCCCAGCCTCCCTGGATACCCCTCAGGGCTGAGGAAGTAATCTGGGCCCATTCTCCCCAAACCAGCAGACTCATCCCCCTCATTAGGGGATATTAATTCTCCCGGGGGCTTAGTAACTACAGCTGGTCCCATCCACACCTCTTCTCCCTAGATCCTCCCACACCCAACCTGCCTGTGGCACCATGGTTTTAAAAGACTCCATGATCTTGGAACTCTTGGCCTCCTGGTAGTAGGAGAAGCAGCCCGTGATGGCCACAACGACAGCCAGAACAATGCCCAGGTACAGCTGAGGACAGGAAAGAAAGGCTTATCACTAAGTCCTTCTCTTCCTCTTTATTCTACAAAACCAGCTTGCGAAGTTAAAACTAGAGGGCTGAGGTGGGAAACAGAGAGGCTTAGAAGAAGTTGGGATGGGTGGGAAGGTGTGGCTTTTAGGGGAGCAGTCCTGAGCTATCAGGAGCAGTCAGAAAAACCTCAGGTCAGAGAACATGCCTGTCTTTTCCAGAAAGGCTGCTCATCAGCAAGGATTCAGGGGGAGGGAGGGAGGCAGGGAAAGGGAAGAGGAAGAGGTTCCAATTCTGGGAAAGAGAAGAGGACTTCAAAGGGCCTTGGTGAGTGATTGGGAAACAAGAGAAAGCTTCTGGGGCCAAATGATGCAACTCAGGGGGTGGAACCCAGAGCTGTCTATTCAAACGCCAAGGGAACCAAGACTGGCCCAGGTCTCCTCAGGAAGAGCTGAGCCTCGTAGGGATTTGGGCTGGAGGATGACAGGAGTGTTGGGCACTCAGTAGAAGAGTTCCCAGGGCTGAGCTAAAGCATACTCACATTATCTTTGTCAGATTTCTGATGGAAATGCACCTGGATGCCGTAGGCCACAAAGCAGAGGATGGACCCAGTCCACAGCAGAAGGGAGAAGCCAGTGAACAGCTGTTTACAGAATTTGACCCAGTTTGGAATGGTACGGGGAGGGGTAAGTGTGTTGTATCCATCTCGAAGCAGGATTTCCTTTGCCTTTTCAGGACTAAGGCCCTGCGTGGAGGGAGAAGAGAGACGAATGGAGAAGGAGCTGGGAAGGAAGAGGCAGTTATGGTAAGGGGGACCCTGAAGTCATAACCTCATAGACCAAAACAGCTCTCTGAAGGCCGATGTGGAGGTTCTTCCTAGATCAGGTTTTTTTTTTTTTTTTTTTTTTTTTTTAAGGGAAGGGTCTATAGGGTGTTCAGAGTCTCACTACTAGATCAGATTTGTAGGGATCCACCTGTTTATAGCCTCCCAAAAGCTGGGATTACAGGCATGCACCACCATGCCCAGTCTCTATTGCCCTCTCAGCATGCCCTGGAGGTGGGACCTGCATGCCAGGCCTGGGGATTGAATCTCCAGCCCCTGTGCCTGCTTGCAGGTGCTTTAATCTGCTGAGCTATTTGGCCAGCCCCAGTTTGATTATAGAAGGGATCTCATTTAGCATGCTTCCACAGCAAGATTGGTTTGTTTATGGGTTTATTTACAGTCTTTTTTGAATTTGTTTTTTGTTTGTTTTTGTTTTTGATATAGGCTCTGGCTATGTAGTTCAGACTCATAGAGATTCTCCTGTCTCAGCCTCCTCAGTGTTGGGATCACAGATGTGTGCCACCATGGCTGGTTTGGGGGCTGGCAGGGCATGTGGACTGGGTACTGAATTCGGAATCTTGAGCCTGCCAGGCAGGCACTTTTGCCGCTGAGCTATCTCCCCAGCCCACTCTTTTGAATCTGAAGGCCTACCTTGGGGCCAGATAGTGTGAAAATACCAACATTGATAAGAATGATTTCTCCTTTTAGGGAGTTCAGGTGGGGAGATGAATAGAGATAATCCTAAGGTGCAAGCCCACTGTAGTGATGAGACATAATTTGTACCATTCGTTACAGATACCCACACTTTGACTATCGAACTTGGAAATGGGGAAAAAGAAAAAACTAACTAAAGGCATGAATGCACTGAATCTCATTCTAGCCTTGGGTGCTAGCTTATGTATTTGCCCCCAAAAATGCCCTCTGAAAAGCCCAAGGGATCCCAAAGCTCTTTTAGGACACTCATAAAGTTAAATAATTTTCACAATAAATATTAAATCATTGTCTTTTCACCTTCACTTTCAAGAATGTGTGGTAGGGTTTTTGTTGTTGTTTCAGTGTTGGAGATTGAAACTAGGGCCTTTAACTGAGCAGTAAATATTCCCCAGCACCTTTTCACTTTTTGAGGCAAGGCCTTGCTAACTCCCCAAGTTGCCCAGGCTGGCCTTAAACTCGTGATCCTCCTGCCTCAGGCTCCCAGAGCGGTGGAATTACAGGTGTGCACCACCATGCCTGGAGTGGTAGAAATTTTCTGAATGCTGCTTGACCTATGCATAGTGCAAGAGACGGAATACAGAAAAGATACGAAACACCACCTATGCTACATAAAAAACTATATTCCTTAAAGAGATTTGCAAAAAAAAAAAAAAAAAAAAAGATGCCGCTAATTTTTCAGTTCTGAAAAATAGAGTTCTTTTGATAAAATGTTATTGATACTAATTTATGGTGAGCTTACTCTTCTTTTTAAAATAAGTTGGGAAACACTTTACAGCTCTATTTTAATTACTAACATGATACAATTAGACAAGTTCAGCTCCGCAGGGTCATGGATAAATTCTAAGGATGTAAGAGTCCCCAGGATGAAAAGTTGGAGAAGTGCTGCTCGGGACCATTCCTGTTCCCTTCTCCAGCCCTGCGCTGTCGTGAGTGGGTACCCTTGGCATCTTTTCCAAGCGGCATCGTGCGGCCCATGGCCTGGTAGACAGAGCAGTATGAGCTTTCTAGCTCGGCTCTGCCCCGGCCAAGTCAGAGCCGGAGCCCTGCTACCTCCTGGGGGGAGCTTCTTACTTACGTGTGTCAGGTTCACGGAGTACTTGGCGCTCAGCTCTTCCAAGGTTAATTTGTGATCATCCTGAAAGGGAGGAGAGAGTCAGGGAGGGAGAAACGGTGAGCTCCAGCCCTTTGCAGAGGGAAGGAGAAAACACTGCGGAAGTGGACAGTTCTGGCCTGGGCGCGGGTTGAGGAGGTGTTCAGAGGGGATCTGTTCTGGAGTTCTCACCATGACCACCTCCTTCTTCAGTTCCTCTATGTCTTTCTTCTTTTTTCCCCTCTTCACGTTCAGCTTCACTTTTTTTCTCTGCCTACTCTTAGGCTCCTTCTGGGGCCTTTGGCTCGGGTGCTGGTCGTGGGGACTCACTTTCCCTCTTTTTCCTCCCCGATCCATGCTTGTCCCTAGGCACAGTCGGCCAGCTCAGTGTAGGGCAGGAAAGCAGAGCAACCGGGAGCTGCCAGGAGAGGCGCGGAGGCTGTGTGTGTGGCGGGGGAGATGGGGGAGGACCCCAATGAAGGGCCAGCGTGGGGTCGTCAGGGCAGAGGGGTGAAGGGGAGAGAGGCCTGAGTGGCCGAGAGGAGGAGGGGTCAGGAAGGAGGGCGTGGGATGGGGTTCCAGGAGCTGAGGGCGCGATGCGGAGGCAGGAGGGAACAAAGCTACGCAAGGCGCGGGCAGCTCCGGGCCTGGACACTGAAGATGCTCGCGGTCCTCTGCAGGTGGCGGGACCAGCGCGAGCAAAGAGCGGACGCAGGGTGTGCTGGGAGCCCCCAGCCCCGGGCCTCCTGGTGGCCTGGCAACGGCCCAGCATCACAAAGCTCCCTGTGGACGTTCTACCCTGGAATCCCCCGCGTTCCCTCTGTCTTTGGGTCTGAGAATTCTTGGAGCTGATTCTGCCACAGGGAGAGTTTGGGTCTGAGGGCAAAACCAAGACACAGTCCTCCTGTGGTCTGGCGTCTCCTGAGGCTTAGAAATACCTCAGACTGCTGACTCAAAAAATGAGGCAGGTGCTCCGCCGCGGTGTGCTTTCCCAAGAGGCGCAGGTCTTTACCAACACTGAGTTTGCGTTTTCACCCATGGAGGTTAGCTAGTACAGCGGACCGCACCTTGGGCTCTGGAATCAGGACTGTGTTTGAATCCTGGCTGGCTTCTCTGTCTGGCAGCTGCGTGGCTTTGAGCAACTTAACTAACCTCTCCCGGCCTTTCCTTTCTGTAAGGGGGACGCCAGCTATCTCAGAGTGGCCAGGGTAAGGATTAAAGCTAGTGCTCTACTTGAAGCACAAAGCCTGGCACGCAGCGGGGGACTAGTAAAGAGCTTGATTCCTTATCAGAAATTTTGTTTGTGGCTTACTAAGCAGATCTTTTCCATGGAAGTAAAACTACACAGTTCCAGGTGGTAGCACAGCACTCCCTTGTTTTAAAATGATACATTTGCCGTAGAGAGAGCTCAGTGGCATAAGCGCCTGCCTGGCAAGCTCAAGGTCCTGAGTTTGATCTCCAGTACCAAATACAAATAAATAAAATAAAATAAAATGATGCATTGATCTCTTTCACCCTTCTCTGACAGCTTGATAGATGTTTGACTTAATGGGTGTCATGTACAAATTAGTTTTTGTCTCCTAAAAACCATCTTAAGAAGTTACATATTTCTATCAATCATTCATTTATATTTTTTAGTTATATATATCACTCGCCATTTCCCTTTCTGTTGTTTGACATTTAATTGCATGCTGTTTAAGAAACAGGGCTGTGCCTGAAAACATCCGTCTTGGTACTGATGTAGCCCTCCTCTGAAATGCATGATGGGGTGGGCCTGTAGTTGCTGCAGCACTTGGGAAGTGGAGGCAGGAGGATCACTGTGAGTCTGAAGCCAGTCTGAGCTACATAGTGAATTTAAGACCAGCCTGAACTATATAGCAAGACCCTGTCTCAAAAAACCAAGAACCAAACCAAACCAAAACAAAACAAAACAAAACAAAACCACCTAAGGGGATGAAATTCACAATGGAAAGGTTCCCTTCCTGGATGAGATAAACGTTTGTTCCTTAACTGAGTGAATTTTTCTTCTCTATTAAAAATACATAAAATAGAAAAAAAAAAAAAGGAAAAAAGAAGAAAAAAAGAAAAAAAATACATAAAATAAAAACTGAAAATCCCTTTCCCCCTCCAAACTTTCTGTGGCTGAAGTCACTGTTGTTAATTTGCTGTCCATCCTTTCATTTCTACTTAGACAAATACAGACCTAAAAAGAGATATATTTTAAAAAAATTTTGTATAATCATTAAGTGCTCCTTTCCTTACCTACCTGTCAGGCATTGTCTTGTTTATTTATTTATTTGGTACAGGGTCTTGCTACGCAGTTCAGGCTCATAGTGATCTTCCTGTCTCAGCCTCCCCAGCACTGGGATCACAGGTGTGCACAACCACACCCAGCTTCGGTGGTGGCACATTCCCCCCTCCCCAGGGTTTCTGGGGCCTGCACAGCATGTAGTTCTGGGGACTGAATGCAGGTCCTTGTGCTTGCCAGACAGGCTCTTAGACCTCTGAGCTAACTCTCTGCGCCAGTCACTGTCTTTTCAGGGCAGCAAGGCATTCCATGTGCTGCTCTGACCAGGCCTTGTCAATCACTCCCACTGCTTGTAGGTGCACAATGGACTTCCCATTTTTTATCCATTAAAAACAATGCCACTCTCTCATCCTTCTTATAGGTAACTTCTGCCTCTATTTCTGTAGCATTGATTTCTACTGCTGAATCATAGGACACACTCATTTAAAAATCTTAAAATATTCTGCTAACTGTCCCTTTATTCGTCTAGATTTCAGCAACCAGATGCAAGAATCTCCATTCTCCACACTAGATGACCTTGATCTTTTACATATTTACCATTATAATTAGCAAGATCTGTGATCTTGTAGTTTTAAGTCACATTTCTTTATTGTCTATGTGAGCATTGTCTTCATGTTTATTGGTTTTCTGAATTTCCTGTTTTGTGACGCATTGTTTTTATCATTTGTCCAATATTCTCTCTCTTTCTTTCTTTTTTTCTTTCTTCCTTCCTTCCTTTTTTCCTTCCTTCCTTCCTTCTAATGTATTTAGTTATTTAGTATAGTGTCTACAGGTTCTTACTACACAGATGGGACTCATAGCGATCCTCCTGTTTTCAGCCTCCCAAGCACTGGGATTACACGTGTGGGCCACTATGCCCAGTCTAAATTGCTGTCTCAGTGAGCCCCAGGGGCAAGGCTGGCAATGCATGGCACACCGTGGATTGAACCCTGGCCCCTGTGTTTGCCTAAGCAAACACTTTAATCTGCTGAGCTATCTGGCTGGCGCTGTTGCTAAGTTCATTGTTGCATGACCTCTGCAGTGACATTTAGCCCCCATACATGGGCAATTCCCAGGAGCAGCCTTATGGAGCTATAATCAGTGGAAATTATTTTTGGCAAATCCATCCTGATACACAGACCTTAGCTCAAAAGTTCACCTCAGAGAGACCGTCTTTGGTAGCCGAGTTCAAAGTAGTCTCTCTGACCTCAGCCCTGTGCTGTCACTTTGCAGCATTTTCACTCTGCAAGAGCTTCCTGCCCATTTATCTGTTGCATTGATAATTGCTTAGTTTTTGTGACCTTATTTATTTATTTATTTATTTATTTTTTTTTTTTTCATGTATTTTAGGGAAGGGTCTACAGGGTGTTCAGGGTCTCACTACTAGATCGGACTGGTAGTGATTCTCCCGTTTACAGCCTCCCTAGTGCTGGGATTATAGGAGTGTGCCACCATGCCCAGTCTCAATCACTGTCTCAGTGTGCCCCTGGGGTGGGGCTGGCACATGTGGGCCTGGGGATTGAACCCCCAGTCCTTGTGCCTGCTGGCAGGCGCTTTAATCCACTGAGCTATTTGGCCGGCCCTGATTTCTACAGTGACATGGAGTCTCAGTCTCCCCCTGCCCTCCAACTCGGGACCTTGCCCTTGCCAGACAGGCACTGATTCTGCTGAGCTATCTGCCTGGGCACACAGCATTGTTTTAATTTGCATCACTCACCTGAGCTGTGATGTTGAGCATTTTTTCATGTGCTGTATTTATTTGATGTTTGTATTTCCCCCTCTGACAAGTGTGTACTCATCTCAAGCACCTATTTTTGGATTAGATCCTTAAATTTGGAGGGGTCTGATAATTGTTGATTTTTTAAAAAAATGTTTTAAATTATTTATTTATTTGCTACAGGGTCTTGCTATGCAGTTTGGATTCTTAATGATCCTCCTGTCTCAGCATCCCCAGTGCTGGAATTACAGACATGCGCCACCATACCCAGTTTCCGGGCAGTACGGTGTACCCTTCCAGACTGGCACCACCTGAGGTTCCAGTTCCAGGATCGAACCCAACTTGTGCCTGCCAAGCAGCCACGTAGACACCAGACACTGAGCTGTTTCCCTAGCCCTCAATTCTTTGTGTGTTCTGGATAGAAGTCTTTTGCCTGAGGGGACAACTGGCTAAGACTTTTTCCCCACTCTGAGTTGTCTTCACACTCTGTTGGTAGAATCGACTCTTGCAGTAACTTATTTTTAACTTTACTACATCCTCTCTTCCCAAACAGTAGTCAAATTTAGCTCTTCATGTATTCACATTTTTATTTCTCTTTCTGCTTTTGAATTTTCTCTAATAAATACCATATGCTGCACACACCATATCTTGAGGTTAATTTATTTTGGTTCTGTTGGAAATAGAACTCCTTTATGTTGTATTTCTTCTCTAGTAAATATTAATTATTTAACAACTGATCCATTTGTATCCCATGGCTTTGAATTTATTTATTCATTCATTTATTTATTTATTACCTGGATTCAAACTCACGGCCTCACACTTGCCCAGCAGGAGCTGTGCCGCTGAGCTAGGCTTTGAACTTCATGCCTCCAGGTTTTTTGTCTTAGTTGCTGTGAATTTTTTAAAGTTGAATTCGATGGATTTTTGTTAGTAGTCCTGGTCTTTACACAAAACAATGCTTTTGTGGATTGCAGTTTGTCTCTTAAGTGCTAACTCCTCCTTATCTGAGATTTCAGGTGTGGCTGCTATCATTTTTGCTATAGTGGCTGATATTTGTTAGTTTTCTAGACTTCATCCTTTCCTTTCTTCTGTGAACACAATTACCCTTTCCAGTATGCTTTTTTCTTCCAATGTCTGAGTGAGGAATCGTTGTTGGGTTGCACTGATAGCCTTCTCAGTATCATTGGAAGTGATCAATCATTTTTCTTCTCAGAACCAGTTGTGGGTAACATTTTCCTTATAATGCAGTATCCTGGCATGCCACAGTTTGGTGGTAGTCAGGTGATTATAAGGATCATGAAATTTTATCAAAGTCCTACTAGTCTCAGAAGATAAGCTGGGAAAACTCTTGGAAACAACCCAAGTGCCCATCAACTGGTGAATGGATAAAGAAGATGTGGGTTTTGTCTTTTTAATATAATGGGGTACTCTGCCATCAAGAAGGGTGTGCTCGAGACATTTCTAGGCAAATGGATGCACCTTGACTCCATACTCTTCAGAGGAATAAATCAGACACACGTAAGTGAAGGCTGGATTGTTTCTCTGGTGTGAGAAAGTGAAAGTATAAATAAGGACGAAATGTATTTTGAAATAGAAAATGTTCAACTGGGGAGAGGAACAAGAAAGAGGAGAAGGGGAAGGAAAGAAGGGAAAAG